GGGTCCCAGGAGACGGTGGCCGTATTCTCTGTCACCCCATCAGTCACCAGGTTTTGGGGGCTGTCAATGTCTAAAAAGAGAAATGCTGATCAACATGCACTTTTAACAGGCCTCAGAGTGCAGGAACTGGTGATCATTTTGCTTGGGTGACACCCTTCCACGTTCTGTGGTTTTTCCACTTCATATGCTCTTGTTTTGTGTTTTGGATGTTCCAGGGACATACATCTTCTCTCACTGGATAGACCTGGCTCCTCAAGTAGAAAGTAGAGTAGACCAGCATCTGAAAATCTGGGCTAATACTTCTATCATGACTTTAGCAAAACATACTTCTTTATTCATTGAGTAAGAGTATATCAAGCCCCATTCCGCAGAAGACACCTTCTAGGCAGTGTGTGCAAAGTCCAGAGTTGAAGAAAACACAGTCTATTCAACTAACAATTTTGTATCTATCATCATGTCATCGAAGACCTCCCATTTTATACCACAAGATTCTAAAACCCAGACCCAAATGTAAGCTCCCTAGAGGAAGAGGACCACATCTCATTCCCCTCTGTGTTTCCAGTGCCTAGTAGATGACATGGCACATGGAAAGTAGTCAGTATATATCATTAAATGAATCAGCAAAAACTAAAACCCTGCTTTAATATTCCTCAGTACATCATAGAGACATTCATCATGCTGGTTTGCTGGTTAAATCACTGTACAAAATATGGTCGTATATCTCTTTCACATTAACAAGATAAGAACATAATACCTTACCCTCAAAAGCCTGGCCCTCTAATATTAAGCCATCTCACAGAGAGGAATAAACTCCTTTCTTGTTTAAGCAGCTGTTATTGGGGTGTTTTTGTCAATGCATATCTTATTTATTCAACCATATCATCTGAGAGACATCCCGGTGCATCATTCCCCATATCTATGCCTTGTTACCTCCTGCATANTCATCTGAGAGACATCCCGGTGCATCATTCCCCATATCTATGCCTTGTTACCTCCTGCATAGAACGTATCATAACTCACAGTTACAAATTTGTTTTATAACTATAATATGATTCATTTGTAGTAAAGCAAACCACATGCACTATTTGCGATGGCAGATGTGAAGTCTACATTCTTAAAGTCCAATTTTCAATATTCTATTATTAATATCAATAATACTTGATTTTCATTTTCTGTTCCCACTCACAAACTCACTAAGAAACCCTCAATACTGTCTATAGCAAAAGATCCATGCAATCAGAAGAGGAGCTGATGAACGTGACCATGCAGTCACAGCATGGAGACTGCCACGTGCCTGACTTGTCAGAAAACCAGTTAAAGGGAAGTGAGAAATGGTGTGTGCAGTCGATTATAAAGACACCCATCCTGATCTTCTATAAATCACTGATTTCTGTCAATGCAAGACAAGAAAAAATTAGACCTGCCAAAGGCTTAGCATGACAGGTCTTGCATTCCCAAAGAACAATGCTCTGTTACCTGTCGGG